TTTCAATTTCTGTCTGTTACAGAAGCTCTTTCTTTCATCTTCATTAATAAATGAAAGCTTTGCAGGTTACAGTATTCTGGGTTGGCAGTTTTTTTCTCTTAAGACTTGGAGTCTATCTCGCCATTCTCTCCTGGCCTGTAGTGTTTCGGATGGGAAGTCAGCTGTGAATCTAATTGGAGATCCTCTGAAAGTAATCTGGTGTTTCTCTCATGCACATTTTAGAATATTTTCTTTATGTTTTACTGTGGTGAGTTTGATTACAATGTGTCATGAAGATATTTTCTGACCATGTCTATTAGGAGTTGTATGTGCTTCCTGTACTTGGATGTCCCTTTCGTGGTCCAAATTAGGGACATTTTCTGTAATTATTTCACTAAAAAGGCCTTCTAATCCATTCTCTTTCCATGCCTTCAGGAACTCCTAAGATCCATATGTTGGGGTTTTTGATAGTATCCCATAGATCCCCAAAGGTGTTTTTTAGTTTTCTAATTTCTTTTTCTTTCCTTTTTTATTTTTTTGCCTGACTGTAAAATTTCCACTGATTTGTCTTTTAAATCAGATATTCTTTCTTCTGCTTCACTGAATCTCTCTCTCTCTCTCTCTCTCTTTTTTTTTTTTTTTTTTTGACAGGCAGAGTGGACAGTGAGAGAGACAGAGAGAAAGGTCTTCCTTTGCCGTTGGTTCACCCTCCAATGGCCACCGCGGCCCGTGCACTGCGGCCAGCGCACCGCGCTGATCCGATGGCAGGAGCCAGGTACTTATCCTGGTCTCCCATGTGGGTGCAGGGCCCAAGCACTTGGGCCATCCTCCACTGCACTCCTGTGCCACAGCAGAGAGCTGGCCTGGAAGAGGGGCAACCGGGACAGAATCCGGTGCCCCAACCGGGACTAGAACCCGGTGTGCCAGAGCCGCAAGGTGGAGGATTAGCCTAGTGAGCTGTGGCGCCGGCCCACTGAATCTCTTGTTAAGGCTTTCCACTGAATTTTTTATTCATTCTATTGAATTTTTCATTTCTACGATTTCATTTTGACTTCTTTTTAAGATCTCAATTTCATGGGAAAAATTTTCTGTCATGTCATATATGGATTTCTTTAATTTGTGGATTTTTTTCTGATTACTTCTAATCCTATGATCAATTTTTAGAATTCCATTTCTGGCATTTCTTCAATCTCTTCATCTTCACATTCTAGTACTAAAGTGTTGTGTTCTTTTGGGGGTGTCACATTGTCTTCCTTATTCTTGTTTCTTGAATTGCTGCGTTTACTTGTTGGTTTCTTTTTTGTTTGTTTTTTCCCTGTGATGGCTTTTATCTTTGAACTATGATTCTGTGGCTTAGTGAGTTCAGTGCTCCAGGGTGAAGGGAGTGTCCAAGATGACACCCAGATTGGGCATTGTAAATGTTTTCTTATCTTTTTTTTTTTTTTCTTTAATCAGAGGAGAGGTTTTTTCTGCTCTATTGGTGTAGTCTCACACTCACCTTCTGTCCTCCAAGGAGACCAATGCCTGGCACTAGCCCCAGTGGGTGTATATTCATCCATGCTGCCACAAGAACCATACAGAGGATCTGTACAGTCCTTGGTGTGAGCAGGGGTCCCACAGCAATGAACCTCACCAGGGAGTCGGGGATCCCTGAGTATGTGTTGCCACCATCACAAGCACTCAGCCCCTTGTCAATTCTCCCAGCCAGACTCAGGCATCTCCTCTCAGCTGGTTGCTGAACTCATGGACAGGAGCTGGTGCAACTGTTACATATGTCCAAAATGGCTCCCACTTTCTCTCAGCTAGTTACAGGATGCAGGTGCAGAGTGATTGAAGAGAGAGAAATGTGCCCCCCCCTTTTTTTCTCTTCTTGTTATGCAGGTATACTGTTACTCACAGGGCTCTAAGCTGGGCCCACACCAGGCTCTTCTCACAGTTTTATCACCAGTAGCTTGGGCTGCTGCAGACTGGTCTCACCTCTCCAAAGCTAGCAGTTTTTTTATTGAAGCATATTTTTGTGTGTTGATTTTTGTATCCTTCAACTTATTTCATTCATAGTTCTAGTAGTCTCTGGTAGAGTCCTTATGTTTTTCTATACATAAAGTCATGTTATCTGTCAACAGGGATGATTTGACTTCCTCCTCTCTTGCCTGGCTAACTTTTATTTCTTCCTCTTGCCTCATTACTCTAAGACTTTGAATATTATGTTGAAAATAAGTAATAAAATTAACTTTGTTTATAGGAAGTGTTTTCAGCTTTCCGCATACAGTATGATGTTAAGTGTGGGTTTGCCATATAGACTTTACAATGTATTGAGATGAATGTATGGTTTTTGTCTTTCATTCTTTTGATTTATGATTATTGACCTGTGTCAGTCAAACCACACTTGAATTCCTTGGATAATCCTGATTGATCATAGTGTACAAACTTCTTGTGATATTATCGGATTCAATTTGCTAGTATTTTGTAAAGAAGTTTTGCAACTTTGTTCATCAGGGATATTGGTCAATAATTTCCTTTTAGTTGTTGTTGTTGGGTTCATATCTGTTTTGCTATCATGATGATGCTGGGTTATTAAATGGATCTGGAAGAGTTTACTCCATCTCAACATTTTAGAATTGTTTGAGAGCTGACGTTAGTTTGTTCTTGAAAGTTTAGTGGAACTTAGGAGTTGAATCCATCTGATCTTGGGCTTTTGTGAGGAGATATTTTGTTATTGATTCAATGTTGTTCCTTCTAATTAGTTTGTCAGGTTTTCTGCGTCTTCATGGTTCAATTTTAGTAGGTTATACGTCTAGAAATTTTTCCATGTCTCCTGGATTTTCCAGGTTTTTTTGATCATGCAATCCAAATATGTCCTAATGATCTTTTGCATTTCTGTGATATCATTTGTAATGTGTAATTTTTCATCGGGTTTCATTTGGGTTTCCTCTTTTTTATCCTTTTGTTAGTATAGCTAAAATTTTGCCTGTTTTGCTCATCAGAAAATCAGTTCTTCATTTCATTGATACTGTGTTTCTGTCTATTTTGTTTATGTTCTGATCTTATTTCTGGCCTTCTCATTTTTGGTTTGACTTGTTCTTTCTTTTGTAATTCCAGCAGTTGCATTGTTGTTTATTTGAAGCCTCCTGCCCCATCCCTTTTTTTACATGTATATGCTTACTGCTATGAACTTCCTTGTTGAGTACTCATTCTGTTGTGTCTCACAGGTTTTGGTATGCTGTCTGTGAGCTTCCATTTGTTTCAAGAAATTTTAAAATTTCTGTTTGGATTTTTTTTTCTTTGGCCCACTCTTCATTCCTTCATTCCTGATCATGTTAAATAGCTTGCATGTGTTTGTACAGTTCCTTAAATTTTTTTTTATTTCTAGCTTTATTCCATTGTGTTCAGAGTTGAAACATGCTATGATTTCAGTTTTTCTGAACTTAAATATTTGCTTTGTGGACTGATATATGCTTTATGCTAGAAAACATTTTATGTACTGAATAGAAGTGAATATTCTATAAATGTCTGTTAGAGGCACTTGTTCTATAGTATAGTTTGACGTTTCTTCATTGATTTTTTTTTCCCCCTTTGGCTGAGCCTATCTGAAGCCAAGAGCCAGGAGCTTCTTCTGGGTCTCTCATGCAGATGCAGGGGCCCAAGGGCTTGGGCTGTCTTCTATCTGCTTGCCCAAGCCATAGCAGAGAGCTGGGATCAGAAGTGGAATAGCTGGGACTCAAACCGGCGCCCATATGGGATGCTGGCACTGCAAGCGATGGCTTTACCTGCTACGCCATAGCACTGGCCCCTATTTTCAGTTCTTTTAGCTCTAAGATTTCTGTTTGGTTTCTCTTAACTGAATTTCTTTAAATGTTCTTCCCAATTTAATTGAATTTTCTGTCTGTATGCATATTTTCTTAGATCAAATTACATTTCCTTAAAATATTGTTTGGGATTCTATATCAGTTTGCCAGTTTCCTTTGCTTTGGGAGATGTCACATCTTTTATCTTTCTGTGGAGATGTCACATCTTATCTTTTTGTGGAGATGTCACATCTTCTTGCTTTTTATTTTTTCCTTTTTTCTTATGTCCTTAAATGGACATCTGGAGATTCAGTTGCCTCTACAAATTTTATGGGGTGGTTTTCACCTGTAACTTATGTCTGTTGAGTAGGTTGTGTTGGCTTTGGTTCCAGACAGCTGCTTTAAGGTAGTGTTTATGTAGCTTCTTCATCTGTCATCAACATTACAGAAATGATCTCGTCTACAGAGGTTGTGGCATACTCATACCAGGCTGTGTTGCAGCTTTCTTGGGAGTGGGAGAAGTTTTACTGGTGGCTCTAGGTGTGGCATGACTGACTGGTTGTGGGCCTTTGTCACCTTCTACATATTGGGGCGAGTCCTTTGTAATGGGCCCAAATAGGTTCAGGGACTCAAAATGGTACTGTGCCACGTACATCCTAAAAACTTGTCTTTAGTGGGAAAAAAGGGTAGTGTAATGTCATTGGTCAATATAAAAAAATGCTTTATAAAAGAATATCACACTTCATACTTGAATGCACAAACTTTTTAGTCAGGACAAAATCCTACAAAGCAAATAATCTTTCAAGCTTTACAGACTGGACAACTTAGGATAATATCCATTTTCTCAACTAACATGATCAGGAAGTAAAGTTGAACTGTCTTCTAATAGGAGACCAAGCATTTTGGTCTCTACTTTGCACTTGATACAGTGTATTAAAATTTGGAAAACCTATTTTATACAGTTCTTACAGAAATTTGAACATGAATTTTTGAGTCAAAACCAGTTATAAAGGGGTCCTCTGGTGCTGAAGTCAGGCTGATTGGTCAGTTTTTTCACCAAGTTTTCCTAAAATATTTTTAAATGTAATCCATATATTTAAAGATATACTTAAAAGTTCTACTTTATGAAGATTAAATCACTTGGTTTTGTATTTCTGTATTGTACAGAACTTAAGATAACTGTGACAAATAGTACATTGACACATATAGAATGTTGAATAATGTATTTTCTTATAGGCAGAACTCCTAGACGCTGCAGCTGGAATTCATGTACGATTCAGATTAGGTGGAGTAAGTATTGATAAATTCTTATTTAGTGGTTTTAAAATATATTTATATGACATTAAAAATGGAACTTTTAAAAATATACACCATTTCTGTAATTGCATTGCAATGATATTTTTAATTTTTCCACCTGCAGGCTAAATTTCCACCTGATATATACTATAAAATTTTTACTCACAGACATGTTGAAGATCTTTGTGCCAATAGTCCTAGAGATTACATAAAACTTTCAGCAAAATATACATCTCATAATAAAAGTGACCACCTTCAGGAAGAAGATCAGAGTGGCTGGTACCGTCGGATAGAAAACAATGGCTGGAGAATTGTTTCTGATAAAGTAAAGAGAAATAAGAATAATTATTATATATTTACATTTGTCCTTTTGAAAATTGTTTGAAAATTTTAGTAATTTAACTGATAATATTTAAGTAGACTATTCTGGGGTTAGTAATACTTCAAGGAAGAGCACTTTATGGATTTTTTTTCTCAATTTACTTCTGCTTTTAATAATCAGCTTCATATCTTGGCCATCTTTAGATATACTCTGGTACTCACAGATTATATACTCACTATACAGATTGCAGAATGTGATTTGCTTTCATATTAAGCATGAAAATTGAAAGTGATCAAAGAGTGAATTCATTCAATAAACTTGATTGCATATAGTGTGTCAGGTATTGTAGTTGCTGGAGATAGCAAGGTTAAAAAGCCAATCCTTCCTCTTAAGTAGTTTACTTCTTAATTAGGGAGTTATTGTATAAAACGGGATATTTTAGTGTGGTTAAGTAAATGTTAAGTGGCTTAATGGGAGAAAATACACAGTATTGGGCATAGGGTAGCAAACTCTCCTCCTTGTTATCTAGTGTGTGTGTATGTGTGTATGTGTCAAAGACAGAGTGTGGAGAGGAGAGAGAATAGGAGGGGCATATTTATATAGACAGACAGAGACAGAGGGAGACAGAGAGAGATGGGTGGGAGGAGACAAAAATTGGAAGCAGGGAAAATGGTAACCAGTTAGCAGAGTGTCATACAGGGGCAATGCACGCTGGGGACCTACAAAGGAACAGGTGTGTTCCTGGGGAGCTGGCTGCCTATACTGCTTGTGGATTAGAGTCATGAACAGGAACACCACCAAGAGTAGGCCAGGTACATTCATGTGAGAAGACGAGACTGTCAGACTATGTCTGTTAATTTATTCATCCAGCAAATATTTACTCATTACCTCAGTGTGCTGGTACTTCTATTTTGGCGTATTCATGTTGAACACACATAATTTTTTGCCTGTAGCTAAATCACGTCACAATCAATATTTCAAGATTTTGTATGTTTGTATTTTTGTATACTTGCATTTTCATTTCTCAATAGTTTTGGATACCTACTGAAAGTGAAATCATGGAAGAAAAAAAGGAAAGTGAGTTCCACTTCTCTAAACTGAAGAGAAGGCAAGATTTGGAAAAGAAAAGAAAAATTAGAAAAATAGAATGGATGAGGCAAATGTAAGTATGTCAAATACTTAGAATTACTAAAGACATATTTATATATAGAGAGAAAAAATGAGATAATTTTCATTACTTGATTTCAAGACTCTACCAAGTTACTATAATCATATTGTGGTATTGGCATATAGATCAATGGAATAAGATATATAATTGAGAAATAAACACACACATGTATTAATTTTCAACAAAAAATGTTAGGGAAATATAATGGGGAAAACATAATCTTCTCAAGAGATTTAATATTCAAATTCAGAAAAATGTACCTTGACTCTTACTTCACACTACACATGAAATTAACTTAAAAGAAACCATAGATGTAAATGCAAGAGCAAAACCCATAAAGTATCTAAGAATAATGGAAGGAAAATTCCAATGACTTGGGTTTTGGCAAGTATTTCTTAGATAAGACACAGAAAACATGAACTATAAAAGGAAAATTATTAAACTACATGTAATCAAAATTAAAAAACTCTTATTCTTTATACTATCTGTTATAAAAGCAAAACTGGAAGCCATAAATAAAACATTTACAAACTGTGTATCTAACAAAGATCTTCAATTGAGAATGTTAAAAAAAAAAAAAACTCAAACTCAAGGAGACAATCTAATAATGGATAAAAAATTAACAAACAGTCCATAGATTAAGATATATGTATAGAAAAATTTTAAAACTTGAGATACCACCACATTACCACTCAGATAGCTTAAATAGTCTGCTATACCAGTTGTTGGCAAGAAATGTGAGCAAATGCAACTAAATAAACCCATTTAGAAAACATTTTAACAATTTTTTTTTACAACATAGCTACTATAAAACCCAGCCATTCCATCCCTATATATTACCAAAGAGGAGAAAAAGTGTATTTCCAGAAAAGACTGTATGATGTACTTGAAAATGTGAAATTAAAAGATAATCTTATTTTGGTACAAAAAATTGAAATCCATGCAATTTTTTATAATATGTAATTTCCATAGAACCTTTTGAAGACTGATCAAAAATGAATGCTCCAGATAAGCTTTAAAAAAATTGATTTGAAAGGCAGAGTCAGAGAGAGAGAGAGAGAGAGAGAGAGAGAGAAACAGAGATCTTCCGTCTGCTGGTTCACTTCCCAAATGGCCCAACAGCTAGGGCTGGGCCAGGCCGAAACCAAGAGATTCTTCCATGTTTCCCACATGTGTGATGGGGGCCCTCACACTTTTCCTGCTTTTTGAGTCCATTCTCAGGGAGCTGGACTGGCAGTGGGTGTAGCCAGGACATGAATCAGTGCCGGTAAGATACGCTGGCATTGCAGGCGGCAGCTTTGCTCACTATGCCACAGTGCTGGCCCCAAAGTAGGCTTATTCGTCATACCCCCAACCTGGAAACAGCACAAATGTCTATCAACAGGAAAACAAATAAGTTGTGGGATACTACTGAGTAATACAACAGAGTGAACTGTTGATACACATAACATCGATGAAGCTCAAAATAATGACAAATGAAAGAAGTGAGTCAAAAATATATGTAAATAAAATTCCAGAATATAAAACCATATCTAAATTGACACAAAGGAGATCAGTAGGTGTCAGGAGAAGAGGGAAGGATTAACAAGGGAACTTCGGGAGATGGTGAATATATTTATTTATTTATTGTAGTAGAGGATTCACAGGCATATACAGATGCCCGAATATCAAACTGTGCACATTTAGTTCACTTTTTCTGACTTATTGTACATGAGTTCTACTTCAATAAAGTTGTATGAACCCATATTTGAAGGACATAGGTGCTCAGAGGATCTCTGCGGCAGTACCCTTCACCTGCTGTACTTGTAGGGAGAGTGGAGAGCAGCTCGGGGCTCCAGTTGCGAGGGCTAGAGAGGACCAGTACTTGCGGTACTACCGAATTCTCAGCCCTGCCACAGGTTCTGCACTCAGATGAAGACATCACCAGGGAGGAGGTAAAACCCTGAGATCTGGAATCAGGACAGTTGGACAAACAAAAACAAAACTAAGAACTATAAATATGCAAATTCCCTCGTTGGCGGGAGGAACCATTGCTTCCCCTTTAGATGGAAGAATCCTTCCGCCACAGAACAGCCTCCCAGAAACCACACTGGCCTGGTTCCTGCGCACACTTGAGCTGTTTCTCCTTGGATCCATTTCCCACCACCACCACCACCACCATCACCATTTCTCATTGCCACATCCTTCACTGAGAGTTGAACTTCAGGACAGCTCAGAGATACAGGTCTACTCCAGGAGTTACACAACCAAAGGATCCTCAGAAGCATTATGTGAAGTTGGGTCCTGAAGTTGTTAATTGGGGGGCTGGTGTTGTGGCATAGTGGTTAGAGCTGCTGCCTGTAATACATTCTTCGCATATGGGCTCAGGTTCTTGGCTGAGTGCTCCACTTCCAATCCAGCTCCCTGATAATGGCGTGAGAAAAGTAGCAGAATTTGGCCTAAGTGTTTGGGCCCCTGCAACCCACATGGGAGACCTGGTGGAATGTGGCAGAGGGGAGCGGTGGGAGTGTCCAGCCTCCTGGCTTCAGACTGGCCATCCCTGGCTGTTGCAGATGTCTGTCTGTCTGTCTCTCTCTCTCTCTCTCTCTCTTTATCTCTCCAGTTCTGACTTTCAAATAAATAAATCTTGTTTAAAAAGTTAATTGTGGGGCCGGCACCATGGCTCACTTGGTTAACCCTCTGCCTGTGGCGCCGGCATCCCATATGGGTGCCAGATTCTGTCCCGGTTGCTCCTCTTCCAGTCCAGCTCTCCTCTTCCAGTCCAGCTCTCTGCTGTGGCCCGGGAGGGCAGTGGAGGATGGCCCAAGTGCTTGGGCCCTGCACCCCATGGGAGACCAGGAGAAGCAGCTGGCTCCTGGCTTCAGATCGGCACAGCGCCAAGCGCCAGCCATAGCAGCCATTTGGGGAGTGAACCAATGGAAGGAAGACCTTTCTCTCTAGCTTATTTCTTTTTTTTTTTTTTTTTTTTTTTTGACAGGCAGAGTGGACAGTGAGAGAGAGAGAGACAGAGAGAAAGGTCTTCCTTTGCCATTGGTTCACCCTCCAATGGCCACCGCGGCCAGCATGCTGCGGCCTGCACACCGCGCTGATCCGATGGCAGGAGCCAGGTACTTATCCTGGTCTCCCATGGGGTGCAGGGCCCAAGCACTTGGGCCATCCTCCACTGCACTCCCTTGCCACAGCAGAGAGCTGGCCTGGAAGAGGGGCAACCGGAACAGAATCTGGCGCCCCGACCAGGACTAGAACCCGGTGTGCCTGCGCCGCAAGGCGGAGGATTAGCCTAGTGAGCCGTGGCGCCGGCTCCATATATCTGATTCTGTTGGGTGCAATCTACTCAACCATGTACAAGCCATAACCTCACAAAGCCTCTCCATTGAGTTACTGAGAAATGTCACTAAGCAGTGACAGGTGCAGCACAGTTTTTGAGTTCTGTGATGGTTGTCCCTTAGAGGCTAGAGATGACAGTGGAGAACGTTGTGATGGAATCTATTCCTTTGGTTCACTGAGAATAATGGAACTTTGAAGTCATGTGCAGGTCCGGAGGTGACACAAATTACAGCTAGGCTGCTTCTTGAATAGAGTAGTCTCTGGCATCTGCTATGCTGCTGTTGAACTGGTAAATGTATTTTTTCCCAGTCCAATCACTAAGCAAAAAGAAACAGCATTAAAGTGGAAAGAACAGATGCTATCTTTGCATTTAAGTCTCAAAGTTAAATCAGCATTCCTGCTCTACTCCCTAGGGGCTGAGCATCTGTTTTCACAGGACATCATACCTGTCTGTTGCATGGATGGCCTATGTTAGTTGGATGCACTGAGCAGAAAATAACAGCTCCCTGGATGGTTTAGTAGGACCAATGCCCACTGTGGGGAGGGGGCGATAAACCTTGCAAAAATGTAAAGGTCTGTCACATGGCTATAGCTTAAAAGATATTTTGGAGTATACTTTTTTTTTAATTAATTAGTTTATTTGAGAGCCAGAGTTATAGAGATACCTTCCATCTGCTGGTTCACTCCTCAAATGGCTGCATGGTCAGGGCTGGGCCAATCCGAAGCCAGGAGCTGCTTCTGTGTCTCCCATGTGGGTGCAGGGGCCCAAGGACTTGGGCCATCCTCCTTTGCTTTCTCAGACACATGAGCAGGGGGCTGGATCAGAAGTAGAATAGCTGGGATTCGAATAGCAGGGATTTGAACTGGTACCAGTATGGGATGCTGGTGCTGTAGACAATGGTTTAACTCTCTAAGCCACTACACCGGCCCCAGGGTATAGTTTTTAAAGTATGAGATAAGTTACTATACATTGCACCACTTTGAAGAAGCACAGTTCTCAGAGGCCCTCTTCTGATTTGGGAGGTAAAATAATACCCGTGAGGGAAGGCCACAGCAACTCATTTGCCAGGTGATGTGAATATGGCCACCAGACTTGACATGAGCAAGACAGACCTCTATGGCTGGTCCACAATGTAGTCAAGTTGCTCCATCACTTGGGATTTATGGTCCAAAAGTTCCAACAGTGTGAGAACCATCTGTAGACAATGATGAAATATGGTGTGCAGTCCCTGAAGAGTTCTAGTAGAAGAAACACGGCACAGGGCACAAGGGTTTTAAAATAAGGTAGTAGCAAAAACTATTACCTTTTGAAAATCAGTTCCTGGCTTGTTAGTGGACCATGGAAGGGACTGGATGCTTGCCAATAGGTGCTAAGTGCCATATGATGATGAACTGAGCTGGGTCTAGTGAATCTGTTAATCTATAGGACTGAGAATACATAGCATGGTTGCAGTATAAAATTTATGTGGTATATATTGGGATATTTTTAAAAGGTGATAGAAAATGGAATTAAAAGATGAATTTATTTTGTTGGAAAAATTTTTAATCCTTGCATATATGGGGTCTTCAAAGTTCATGGAAAATACATATATGAAAAAATTTGCATGGATTTTTAAGGATTTTGTAGAAAAATAAATTTTGAGTTCATTTTTCCATCAACTTGTTGA